AGACTAGGTTTTGTTTAAACTGTGAACTATGCGATTTTAGTGTGGTTGAGTGTTTCATATCGTGTTCGTTTGAATTATTCACCGAATTTGAGGAATTTATATCTTTGATTCGCTTTGCTTAAGTAAATAAATAAAGTTCCGGTTTTTATTTATTTATTTACTGTTAAAAGTCTGGCCTTCGTAGTTCTTGTTCATATGATAATGTGTTTTGTTTGCTGAAAAGGAAAGAAATAAGAACATATATATATTTTTTTAGGTAGTGCATTATTAAGTGAACCCAGGGTCCCTAAGGACTAACATTCTGCAACAACTGGTTGTGTGTGTTTTTTTGTTTACCTGAACAAAGTTACTTGTTTTATTGTTTATGTGGTAACCAAAAGGAAGGCCAAGTCTTACATTCTTTATTTTCCAGAGGAATCAGTACTTGAAAAAATTTCCAGGATGAGCACCACAGTACATAGAACTCCCAAATCGGGTAGGCAGTCATTGTTTTTCCAAGATATAACTTCTCCAGTCTCAGCCCGGAGAGGAAAAATTTCAACTCCAGGCCAGGCAGCAGCAGTCTCTGCTCTATGGCGTGAGAGTGGTGGGGGATCAGATCTTCCACCTCCTCCGCTTTACACATTGGAAGACCGCTCAGACTTTTCCCCTGAATCTGGAATTCCAGATTACCCTGTATCCCCGGAAATAAAATCAGATCCTAGAACTCCGGTCCATGGTTTTGGACGGGATTCCTTGACTCCAGTAAAAAACAGATCAGAGGCAAGCACTTCTTATGCTCTATCAAGTGGACAGCATGGCCAACAGGGTTCAGCGAGTATGAATTGGTGGTCATCCCCAAAGAGTGGTGGTGAGCAAGATGAGAAGGGAAGGAGTTCACCAGTTGAGGGTGTTGTTCAGCCTGGTGCTCTGATCACTCTTCCACCTCCAAGGGAAGTTGCAAGGCCAGAGATGCAAAGGAATACCTTGCCTGCAGGGAACCTCAACGAGGAAGAATGGGTTACTGTTTATGGGTAATTCTTTAACCTTACCTTTGTCTTTGTTCTTGGGTATATATAAATTCATACATCTTTGGCTGATATATAATGTATAACCTTCGGCTTTAGTCTACCTTTGGTAATTATCTTATCCGTAATAATCCATCTTTGCTGTGTTGTGTGTGGCTTTGGCCTTATTGCCTGCCTGGTGGTTGTTGGGCAAAGAAAAGAGTTTTAAAAAGAAAAATAAAAGAAATAATCTCTTGTTTTCCAAGCTATTAAAGGTTTCAGATATGCTTGAATCAAATGTCCCCCTGACATACTTTTTGAACTTAAAGTGGTCAGTGATCATAAGAGCCTATTTTCTTGCCAAATTTGTCTGAAATCTCAAAAATCTTGAGAAATTTCTAATATTTGTTAAATAAGTGTTCTACATTGACAAATGTCTTTTAGCTGGTTATTGATGAGCAAGTGGTTTGTCGATTGACTCTTAATTTTTCACAAACCACATACCCTTTCCCCAAGCCTCTGCTCCTTTTTGCTTCTTAACCACATAGAATTTGTTGAACTTGCAGAATAAAAAAAGGGGATCTTGTTCGGTAATTAAACATTAGAAGTAAGACAATCTGATTATGTAATATATTTTATATGATGGTGATTGGTATTTTATAAATTTTGAACTAATTTATATAAATTGCCACACCGTGCTTCTAGTTCACAGTTGGAGAGGACTATGGTATTATTTCGTTATGCACTCTAAAACTTATATAGGGAACTCTCAAAACTCCTTTTTTTCTTTAATATCTCATGGTTGTTTTCAATGTTGTAGGGCAAAAGTTCTATATTCTACTGATTGAAGCTTATTTGATCTCACTTAGGCTTAGACCCTTTGAAGTTATATTTATAATGGGGCTTGCTTGTCTATCTTCTTGACTAATTAAAATGCAGTTTTTACTCAGTTATCCGTATAGCCTCTAATAGTCTTTTTTTTTCTTCCAGATTTTCTCCAGCTGATACGAATTTAGTTTTACGAGAGTTTGAAAAATGTGGCGTGATTTTGAAACATGTTCCTGGACCAAGAGATGCCAACTGGATGCACATCTTATATCAGGTTCTTCTTTTTTCCTATTATTTCAAGTTTGGTGAATCAAATTTCTTATACCAAGCATTAATATTCTCTTCGTTCCTATTATTTCAAGTCTGTTGAATATAATAAATACCACCGTACATCACTTCCATTCAAACTTGGGTTTATTATTGGCATGATGCTGCCATGAAATGGAAGGGAATTTGTAACACTATGTTGTGCGCATAGGTAGTGGTGAATTGATGTAGACCATTGTTGTTTGGTTAATATTTTGAAGTAAAGTTTGCCATGAAATTGAGTCAAAATAGTTAGGGTTATGATACTAAGTAGTCCTTCTGAGCTTTGCCCTTTTCTTTTGCCTTTTTGTCTGTAAATTCTTCTGGGTTTGTTGTACTTGTAGTCTTTTGTGCGTGGGTCTATGTGTGCCAAAGACTTAACTTTATTTCCACCTTTCTCTTCGTTTGCTCAGTCTGGCTGAAGTATCAGACGGATGTAACTGCGATTGACTGAAGATATATCACGTCAATTTGAGTAAAAATTTGTTAACTGTTCTTAATTCTGGTGGTGCAGAATTACTTTGATGCTCAGAAGGCTCTCAGCAAGAACGGGATGCAGATTAACGGGGCGCTAATTATAGGTGTGAAGCCACTGGATCCAATGCAACGCCATGCATTAAATGAAAGGATCAACAATCAGGGTTTCATGACATTGCCCCCCCAACCAGCCATGAAACATGCAGAACTGAATGCTTCAAGAGCCCCCCCTCGTCCTTACTATCTTCAAAATGGTAATACCAGTGCACGACAATCCGGTGGTTCGATTGCTTCCCCAACGAAGTCAATGGTGTCCAAAGTCATGGATTTAATGTTTGGGGTTTAGAGTTTAGCTGCTCTGGTCAACAAACTGGTACTACGGCATTTGTGATACGAAAATATAATTGTTGCGAAAAATTTGAAGTTTAGACTTGAAGAGGTGTCTGGTCATTACGTCCTTATTAGTTGGAATCTCCTTTACTTATTTTTTACTCCAACATTTTCAAGGCTAATAAACTTAAGTCAGTTGTGGTTATGTATGATAATAAGTGGTTTTGCTTATTACATGCAAGTTGCATCTTGATGTGTGAGCACTGTTAATTCATTTGTATTTTTAGGTTATTACAGGATGTATCAGACTGATATCAAATGGAATGAATTTTATGTCAAATTGGCTGTACATGCTTACCTGTTCAGCAAGATTGCTGCCGATTTGTGGTCAGTCTTAAGCTGTCAAACTACGGTTGGTCTTAGGATTAAACTATGGTTCGTCTTAGGTTTCTACGTATCCAGATTCCAGACCATCAAAACCATTTTCACATGTGCTATTTCTAACTTCTACTCCCACTTATAGTAGAAAAACTTGTGTGAAACGGGGATAATACTTTCTTGTTATCTCGGACCAATCACGGTATGCCAAGTTGAAAAGTAATTACACGTGACATACTGTTATTGACTGGAAATAGAAAAATAGTGTTATCCCAGTTCCACACAAGTAGGTTTCCCCCTTGGTTAGAATATTGGTACAATTCAACTCTCAACATCATAAATTTGGAGCTAACAAACTCTGAGCCCGAGCTTCGCTAGTCACAACAAATCAAAATATGAAAAATCAGTTTTAGTGCAAAATATGATTTAAGCTAAAAATGATGGCTCATTAAGTCAATATATACTTCATAATAAAATCCCATAAAATCAAGTTTTCTTATTTGATGTGTAAGGAATAAAAGCCACCAAAAATTATCTTGAGAAAATGATTATTCCAAAAAACCATTTTGTCATAACTAGTCAATATTTTTACATAAAATAATTTTTCATATATGATATAAATGCATGAAGGGTCCTAAGGTCAATCTAGGTAAAAAGCCTTAGATATTCAATCCATAAAGAGTTTTTAGCATTTCAAAATTTCACCACCGCTAAAAAATTCCTGGTCAATCAATGAAACTTGAACTCAAAACCTTCGTTTGATAAAGAGACCACCACTTGATTAAATAATAATTGAGGCCGGAGTTTGCCCTGGAGTGTTTTTGATTAAAAATTCTAGTGTGTATGTAAAAATAAGTTAGACCAGTTGAGCAAAGTAGTGTGAGTCCACCCCCTTCATCTAAGATTTTGCCTAAACATGACATTTTTCTTTCTAATTTTATGTTATGAGTTTTGAGAAGTAGCTAGAAGGCTCTGAAAATTGAAGAGCCCAATGAGGCTCTCCAGACTCCAGTGATGAAAATTAGAGGTCCTCATTATGTCATAGCTGGTTAGCAGTGAACTGTGAAGAGTCCAACCAAGAAAGCTGAAGTATGTATATAAAAAGACAAGGCATCATTTCCATTGCAATATGTACACTCACGGGGCTCATCTTCTTTCCCTCAACATTCTCTCCACCTGTCCCTCTCATGCAGCAGTTAACCTAAGCTAACCAATCCAAAAAAACCTCCATCATTTTTAATGTTGCAAGGACATTTAAAATACAATAAACTATAGGTAGGTAGAGAGAGAGAGAGAGAGAGAGAGAGCTAGCAAGTATTTTAATAATAATCTCTTGGGACAAATCTAGGGATACTCTAGTTATGCTCTATATAATAATGCTATATGTTTTAATGTTTATCATAAATTGTTAATGAATTACAATAATTTTTATTTATATATGATTGAAAATTGAATGAGTATTGGAATTATACTTCTCTTATGTTTGCTAATACATGCGCCTTGGAATTATTCTTATTCATGTTTCACGTTAAAATTATGTAAATTTCACGTTAAAATTCATAATTCAATACTTGAAAAATTAGGAATTAAAATTAATCACATACCAGTTTTATTCTCTTCCATATTCCTAACTTTCCCGATTCAAAAAAGAAAAAGACAATTGTTGATTGTGAACATCATAGCATCATGAAATTAGAGAAGTAAAGGATAGAGATTTTAATAACTTTTGACCTAGCTCTCTCTCCCTGTGAAAGAAAGACAAGGTTTGGAGTTATAGCCGCCACCCCCTTTGGGGGTGGGTGAGTTCCTCTTGCTCTCCCCCCTCCCTTCCCCCCTCCCCTGTTTCTTTCCCACTCTTCCCCTCTTCTCTCGCCCCCCTCTCCCTTCCTTCCCTTGCCTTCCGTCCACTCCTTCCCCCACTCCCTGAGTTCTCTTCCTCTCTCCCTTTTTCTTCTGCTCTGTCTTTGGGTTTTACAGGGTGTGCGTGGCTGGGTAAGGGTGGTTTTGTTGCTCTGTTGCTTGGCATCTCCGGTAGATCTATTCTGGATCTAGTTTATCCGGGCTTTGCTGTGGTGTTTCGGTGGCTTGGGTGCTTTTCCCCTGTGGCCGCCGCGGTCTATCGAGGTTCTCTCTCGGGCATTTGGTGTTCCCATTTTGCTGGTTCCGATGCTCTCTCTTAGGATGAGAGCGGGTGACGTCGTTCGAGCATTCACTGCTTGTATCGAAGGCTTCATGCCTCCTATCTGTTTAGATCCCTCACATCTCCACCATTCCATCTCTCACAGAGCTGTCCATTGGCCTTCGTCACTTCAGTTGCTGGGCTTCCCTTGGTGCGTTGGTGTTTACGATTCCGGCGAAGATGCGATTTCTTGGGTTGCTGATGACCAGAACCCAGATCCCCCCACTTCCCTTTCGAACCGACTTCATCACCCGGTTTCAACGGCAAACTCTAAACGCGAGCTCTCGCGTACCCCTCGGAAGGTGTGTCGAGCCGCGACTTTGCTCCGACTCTGGTGCCTGCACCACCTCCTTCCTGTTACTTGGTTACTTTCCCTGTGCCTTTGGTCTGCTTTGAGAGTTACTGGTTTTTGTGGTAGATTTGTGATTTGGGCGTGTATTTTCTGTATTTTTTCTTGTTTCAACTTGGTGTTGCTACCACATGTTAGGTGTGGGTTCTGTTTTACTGCTGGCTTTTTGCCAGCTTAATTTTGTTTCCGGCGGGATCATGATCTTCATGCTATGCCTATGCCTGGGTTTTAGTTAGATCTGGTCCTGTTTTGGTGTTGTTGCGTTTGTCTTTTGCGGGTGCTCCTTGCTTGGCCCTTTGGTTGTGTTCTTGCCCTTTTGTGGGTTTTCAATGAATTTGCCTTTCGACCAAAAAAAAAAAAGGATAGAGATTTTAAGTTCAAACTTCCATGCAATAAAAGAAAAGAAAGAAAACAAATTGCAATTAGTTCTTGGCTGTATTCAAATGTAAGAACCGTAGGGTACGTAACCGCAGGGAACAGAGCCCCCCGGGTTTATAAAAAGCCACTAAACCAGTGCTCTGCTTGGCAATTTGGCACACACACGTACTTGTAAGTTGTACGAGCATTTCCTTCACATCCAAAACCCACACAAAACTCTTAGCTTACAAGAAGAAGAAGACACAGAAAATCAAATTAAGAGGAGAAATGGTGGGCAGCCGAAAAACGACGTCGGTCGGCGAGGAGGTGGCAGAGGTCGGGAAGGTGGTGGTGGAGATCAACGGAACCATGAATGAAGCCGGAGCACGTGGCTTGCTCCGGAAGGGTGACGTGGCGCAGGTGTGCCTGAGGGTGATGTGCATGGCGGCTTCGGTGACAGCTCTGTCGTTCATGGTGACAGCCAGGGAGGCGAGTACGGTCTCCATCTACGGATTTCAGCTCCCCGTTAACTCCAAGTGGTCTTTCGCCGACTCCTACGAGTAAGCGCCTGCACTCCACTCCCCTCCCAAATTACTCAAATACCCTTCCCATAGAAACAAGAAGACAGAGAATAATTTTAATTTAATGCATATATATGCGTTTTATTATCTTAGGGATTTCACGTAACATATTTCATACATTTTAGAGATCGAGAGAAAGATTTATGAAACATGAAATATGCTTGGAGCGTCCAATCCAAGCATGACGGAGGTCTGTTGAATTTAGCACGTACTTTTTTCGGTTTGCTAAAATACCCCTGGACTTTCGGTTTATTTGCTACTGGGTTTCCACCCAATTTTGTCTTGGTTTGTTTGTCATGCTCCCTTGACTGATTCAGTTGAAGTTTGACGTTGACGAATTTGCCCTTGTGTTTGGCGCTTCCCTTCCCAAAATGACAACAGATTAAATATTTGAGGCTCCCCCTGCCTGCCCCTCTTTCCAACTTCATGCCATATGAATGAACAGAATAAGACCCGTGACTGACTGATTATTCTTTTTCTTTTGTTTTCTCTAACGTTTTCTTATTCTATATTTTAGTCTTGATCTCGTTTAAACATTATGTCTTACTTGTTGAAAATTCATAACAAATGGATGACATGCTTTTGTGGATGAAACCAACTTCATAATGGGGCAAAAATAATCAATCGATCTGAAAATTGTAAAACCAAACAGATCATGTATGTAATGTATATGCTGGATCATGTATGTAATGTTTATTTTCAAGTCTTCGTTCGCAAGTCATATTTATAGAAAGGTAAGCAATTTATAAGACGTTAAAATATATAATTGTGACTCTATAAAATAGACGAACATGATGTTTCAAGAAAACACCAAAATGACAACCACCGGCATATAACAAAATACTAGCTGGGTTGTAGGAGTGTGATTTTGGGTGGATCTGAAGGCTAAATGAATAATGTTTTGAATTTGTGGTGAGCAGGTATCTGGTGGGAGTTTCAGCAGCTGTGGTAGCTCACTCATTGCTGCAACTACTAATAAATGTGTCAAGGCTGCTGAGGAAGTCTCCATTAATTCCCTCGAGAAATCATGCATGGCTTACTTATGCTGGGGATCAGGTAGTCACCGTGATAGAGCCAAATGCAATTACATGTGAGACATATATATGGTGTAACGGAGAGCTCGGGTTTTATGGTGAAGTAGGGTAGGGGAATTTGAATTCGGGGTCATGAGTCGAGTACATGGGTGAATGCTCTTTAGAGCTACAGAGTGGAGTATAGCGCTTGACAGATTTAGATTTAGATTTCAAAATTCGGCATCTACAATCTGAATGTGATCTTATTGTTTTAATCTCTGTTACAGGTGTTTGCATATGCAATGATGAGCGCAGGGTCAGCTGCATCCGGGGTAAGCAACCTGAACCGTACCGGGATCCGGCACACGGCTCTGCCTGATTTTTGTAAACCATTGCACATTTTCTGCTACCATGTTGCAATCTCAATAGCCTGCACTTTCTTGAGCGGCCTCTTGCTGGCAATATCTGCTATCCAGAATGTGATTTGGCTCTCAAACAACTGATGAGATGGAGTTGCATCATTTTGCACTTGCTTCATGTTCTTGCGCTTCAACTCTGTAATGATAGTTATGTAACATTAAATAAATAAATTAATCCCACTGTTTTTAAGGCTGGGAATTCTGGATGCTGGGTATGGTAAAGTTCCAAATGCTGGGAATTCTGGATGGATGCATATGGTTGCTATTAGTATTGGGCAAGAACTGAGGCTACTGGCCATTTTTGTGGAAACTACTTACCTAGATGTTTTAGTCAACAATGCAATACCCAAGTTAATAGAGTTTAAAAAAGAGAGAGATTTTCTATCCTAATGAGTAAAAAGAGAGAAAAAGAGATACTCTTCCTGCACATTATAAATGAAAAACAAAAGATCTTGGACATGCAAGGATGTGAGAAGTGGGAACTTCATCCGTTAAGTTGGTAAAAATTTCTGTTAAATCCATTTAGTTTCATTGATTTGTTCATATTAACTTTCACATTATTCTTCGTGCATACATATCACCCATATGACAATACATGTAATTTGTAAAGAACAGTGAGACGCAAAATAACGGTCGACACACAGGCATAATTAAAGCCTAAATTACATTACAACGTGGTACTGGACTGAAATGGATTGAAAATTTGACAAAGTGACCAATATTAGGATTGGGTTGTAATAAACAGAGAGCCCCATACAATTTTGGGCTTGGTAGTGGACTTGTACAGCTAAATTGGACCACAACAAAAAACCACTATAAAAACGGAGAAAATTGATTGTAACGTCGTCGTTTTACGAACCCTCTCCGTCGTCTCTGTACTCTATCTCGTAGAATACACAACAGTGTTTTAGCTTTGATAGATTTCACAGAGCACGGAAACTGAAGAGAAGAAGCTGAAGATGGAAGCTGATTATGCTAAAAACTCACGCACTCCCTCAGCTTCACTTCTCATCAACATCACCTTCGCTTCTCAAATGTAGCAGAGTGGCACAATTAAGCTTTCACGAACCAAAACTCCATGGCCTGCCAATGCCTTCTGGGCTCTTACTCATCTTCTTCTCTATCCCCAAACCCCAAACCCCAAACCCTCAATAAAAACCCACCAAAACCTCTCGCTCCATCCTCCATTTCCTCCCACCTCTCAATCACTGATGATAATGATGAAAACGATAAAACCCAGAAACCCAATTTCGATTTCCTCAAGCTTTCTGTAACTCTCACTGTAATCTCCACCGCTCTCCCCCAAATCCCAACCGGCATAGCCGCCGTCAAAGAGAAAAAGCGAGTGCCCAAGAAGTCCACGCTCAAAAAATCCGAAGCTTTATCTCATCAAGAGCTCGAGTCTTGGTCCCATGGCCTCCCCGTCGTCTCCAATCGAATTCCGTACACCCAGCTCTTGATATTGAACCAGGAAGGTAAGCTCAAACATGTTATCAAGCCTCCTGGTGTTGAATTGCAAAAAAGGGTAGAGCCCGTATTGGTTGTTCTAGAAGATAATCGGGTTCTACGCACCGTTTTGCCTTCGGTGGATAGCGATAGGAGATTTTGGGAACAATGGGAAGAGTTGAAAATCGAGTCTTTGTGCGTCAATGCATATACGCCGCCGCTTAAACGGCCGGAGGTTCCGTCACCGTACTTGGGTTTTGTGGCGAAATGGCCGGCGTTTTTGTCGTCGTTTGTGAAGCCGAAGAAGGAGAGCAAGAGAGCTATGGAGTTGAGGAGAGCGAGGGAGGAGTTTAAGACACAGAGGAAGGAGGAGCTTGAGAGAATGAGGAAGGAACGAGATATGATCGATAAGGCCATGAAGGCCCAGAAGAAAGAGGAGGAGAGGAGAGTGAAGAAAGAGGTGAGGAAGAAGAAACATGATGAGTCCTTGCGTCAGGCACGTAGGAATTATCTGGAGATGGCCAATGTATGGGCCAATTTGGCTCAGGACTCCAATGTTGCCACTGCGCTTGGACTGGTGTTCTTCTATATTTTTTACAGGACCGTAGTGTTTAGTTATAGGAGGCAGAAGAAGGACTATGAGGATAGGTTGAAGATTGAAAAGGCGGAGGCGGAGGAGAGGAAGAAAATGAGGGAATTGGAGAGGGAGATGGAGGGGATTGAGGGTGAGGAGGAGGAGGAGATTGAGCAAGGGAAGGGTGAGCAAAACCCTTATTTGAAAATGGCTATGCAGTTCATGAAGTCTGGGGCTCGGGTGCGACGAGCTCATAATAAGAGGCTGCCTCAGTATTTGGAGAGAGGCGTGGATGTCAAGTTTTCGGATGTAGCCGGCCTTGGGAAGATCCGGCTTGAGCTTGAGGAGATTGTCAAGTTCTTCACTCACGGTGAAATGTATAGGAGAAGAGGAGTTAAAATACCAGGTTAGATGCTGTAGTAATGCGGCTGAGCTATTGACATTGTTAGATAGCTTTTCTTATATGACATTGTTTGTGTGCTTAATATATGACTTATATGACTGCCCCTGTGTTGAATGATTGTTGATATGCCCTGGTTATGCTCTGATTCCACTGAAAGCACACTGATTTGATTGTTCTGTTTTCCCAATTATTTTCCATTTACTTGTTTGTTTTTGGTATTGCTTTATGCATGATTTATTTTGTGCGGGCCATTAATTTCTTGATCAGGTGGGATACTTCTTTGTGGCCCTCCTGGAGTGGGTAAGACCTTGCTTGCAAAAGCTGTAGCTGGTGAGGCAGGCGTCAACTTCTTTTCCATTTCGGCCTCTCAGTTTGTGGAGATATATGTTGGGGTTGGTGCATCTCGTGTCCGAGCACTTTATCAGGAAGCAAGGGAAAACGTAAGTGTTGACATTCGCTGTTCAATTTCGCTCTCTTGACATTGCACCAACCACCTTACCGCACATTTTTTCCACACCATGTCCTATTAATTTCCTTATACAATAGGCTAGTCTGGGAACTAGTTTTCAAATAATATTATTGCATCAGTAAGTGTTAAATGATGGCATTTCTCTGTTTATTCATTTTCAAGGAGATAACAGATATAGGTGAGAAGTTATGCCTTTCTTGTTTGCACTTTTCTTTTAGAGGGTGTAGTGAAGGTGCACAAATTGTTACATCTCATGATTTTTGAGTTTATATGTACAGGCTCCATCGGTTGTCTTCATTGATGAGTTGGATGCTGTTGGAAGGGAGCGTGGTTTGATCAAGGGTTCTGGTGGGCAAGAACGTGATGCTACTCTTAATCAGGTTAGGTTGGGAATACATAAATGTTTTTTTTATTTGAACTTAGTACTAAAAATTTTCAACTAACCTTTGACTTTTGTAAATTGTTCATTCTTGTGTGTATTCTCCAGCTCCTTGTTTCCTTGGATGGGTTTGAAGGAAGAGGTGAAGTGATCACTATTGCTTCCACAAATAGACCAGACATTCTAGATCCAGCTCTTGTCAGACCTGGACGGTTTGATCGAAAGATATACATCCCTAAGCCTGGTCTTATAGGTCGCATTGAAATTTTGAAGGTAGTAGTCCATAACTTATATCCTGTACCATTTGCACTGCATATATGGCATTGCAAGACTGCCCATGTTCAATTGCCCCAATGATTTATTGTTTCCATAACTGGCTTATATTTTTCCAGTTTGTTTCCATGTCCTGATTATAGGTTCATGCACGCAAGAAGCCTATGGCTGAAGACGTGGACTATATGGCTATTGCTAGTATGACTGATGGAATGGTTGGTGCAGAGCTAGCTAACATAGTTGAGGTTGCCGCAATCAACATGATGCGTGATGGAAGGACTGAGGTATTACTTCCTCTTATTAGATTACACCCCTTATCATTGGATTTTTCTGATTGATTGATATTGCACCTTGCACTAAAAAGAGAAGATGAAAAGAAATATGAGTGATGAAAAACCTTTATAAAAAAAGAAGGATGAAAACAAACTAGGCTAAGTTATGTATCAATGTGTTTACTAGATTTGCTGGGGGCTAATATATGAATGTGAAAGTTATTTAGGTCTTCTGTATGTATCACCTTAAAACATGTGCTAGAGGCTCGAGCTTGGGATTGGTAATACGAATATAATAATTATGTTTTTCTTTGGGGTATAAAATTCCATTATGAATTTATAAAATTTAATTATGAATTTATAAAATTTATGCCCATTTTTGCCTATATTTGAATATGCGCAGCTGATTTCTTGAAGATTTGAATATCTTAATGCTTTCAAGTTAGTTATTTATGCCTTACATTTTGATCTGCTCTTTTGAACACTTGATCTTGTTGTATATGCAGATTACTACTGATGACCTATTACAAGCTGCACAAATGGAAGAAAGAGGAATGCTGGATAGGAAGGAGAGAAGTTTAGATACATGGAAGCAAGTAGCTATTAATGAGGCTGCAATGGCTGTTGTTGCTGTGAACTATCCTGACCTTAAAAATATTGAGTTCGTATGGTCCTTAATCTCAAGTCTCGTCACTTTCACCTTTTCATAGCATATACTGTTTCAAACCTACACTACGTTACATGCTGGGCGTTTTAAGCAAGTCAAATAATTACTCATTGTTGGTCATCCTTTATATCTTTCTTATATATCCCAACTGTTCACGAAAGATTAGAATCATTTGCTCATTTGAAGTTCTATTTGAGAAATGAGAAGTTCACATCTTATTCTATGTCTTTGTGGAATAGTTTATGTTTCATTGGGTTCATTGACTTTAAATTAGCTAATTTCACTTTTTGCTTTAAGAATTTTGAATATACTATTCCTTGATTTGATTTATGCTCTTCCAAATATTCTTGTTAGTGTAACATTGAGAAAAAACTTACTTCCTATAAAATAATGAGTAGAAATTTTCTAACAGTTTATTCATATGGTGCAGGTCACAATTGCTCCTAGAGCTGGTAGGGAGTTGGGTTATGTGAGAATGAAAATGGATCCTATCAAGTTCAAAGAAGGAATGCTTACGTATGGCTTCCTTTGTATCCCTATTTCTTTAGTCATCTTTTCAAAGCACACTTAAACGTGAATTGCATGTCAACTTTAGTGTATCACTGAATATAAAAGTTAAAGTATATATGTAGAGAGTAGAAAGAAATGGTACTTTAGATTAAAATCATAGCTATTAATGATAGGAAGTATTAAACAGTGAGACTTTATCATCAAATTAATTTTTTAAATCAATCTAGGTCAATCATTTGATTTTAA